TTTTTTTTTTTTTTGAAGAAAAGCATAATCATCCAATGATACCTTACGAGTGCAAGTCGCTATTAAAAATAAATCAGACAATGACACCTGCACATCAAAGCTTTGTACTAGATTGTATAAAAGTCAACATAGGGCCTATCAAGCTGTACAAGTTATACTAAGAAATTGTCGGGGGTTAATCTAATATTGGCCACAAATGTGGAATTCGGAAACTTCAAGCGAGATCTCATGGTATACATTTAGGTGTTGACGCACAGTTGGTTATAGAGAAGTTTTATAAACAACAGGAGAATAGCTCTGCCTTCTTTTTTCATTACGACCTTGATGAAAATTACTGTCTACATAGACTTTTCTGGGCCGATCTGGTATCAAGGAAGAACTATGGGTCTTTTGGGGACGTCGTATCATGTGATGCAATATATCACACCAACATATAAAGCAAATAAACACTTTGATTGAATTATTGTTCCAGTATTGCACAACAATTACATTTTTACAGCACATTACATCATATATACTTGCACAACATATAACATAAAATTTATACAACATGATATTGTTGTTCCTTGTAGATACAATATGGTGTTTGCACCATTCACCGGCATAGACAATCATGACAAGTGTGTAACATTTGCATCCGCGTTGATATCAAAGGAAGATGTGAATTCTCATGTATGGATGTTCGAAAAATTAAAAAATGCAATGATTCAAGAACCAAACTAAATAGTCACCAACCAAGATCTCTCGATTGGAATTTCTTTCTCTGGGGTATTCACAAGTATGAAGCACCACTTTTGCATTTGGCATATTGATGGGTCTCTTCTCAGATCTGGAACGGTCCAGTAGGAAAACGTCTGGATCTGGGACGAACCGGTATGAATGAGCTTAGATCTGATGTGACGGCGTTCGAACCGTTGTTGAGCCGCAAGAACACCTGCAAGAACTCAACGCCGGAGGGGTTTCCGGCGTAGAGCCTCCGACGCTCAAGTCAGTATATGAGAAGGATGATGGGAGCTGCTATGAGAGCATCAGCAGTAGTGAAAAGAGTATGGAATCAATGGGAGTTAAGGTTTTGGGATTACCTCAGTCCTTTATATAGGAATACAATATATACCCGAAGTCCCCAAAGTGCCCCGGCCGACTTAATGGAAATGTCCAGAATACCCCGGTCGGTTCGTATTCCGCCTACTTCCTAGTCAGCATCTAGATCCTTCCTTAGCTTCCTTCTTATCCTTAACTCTTCTTCAATATGCTGAGGTGTGTCAAAGCTATCGAGAACCACGAACTGCGAGACTCCTTCAGTCGACCTGAGATATTGCTTCGAGTCTACTGGGTCGCATTCAACCGTTAGTAGACCCTAATACGTTTGACCGTTGTCTTACCAGGGGTCGACTTATTCTAGTCGACAGGTGTATGTCGACTCGGTCGAGAGCCGGGCTTCTTGACTGAATATCGTGGAACCTTACTAGTGGAGTCGAATTTGTCGAAGTCGACTTGATAGTCTCGAACCGTGATGATATGAACCGCTATGAGCCAGTGTGGCTATATCACATATCATGAATAAGTTGTGTGATAAAGTCACACATTTTGTAATTAATGATAGCAATTCCAAACGGAGGCTTAATGAAATTGTTTGGAACCGAAACATTGAATCGACGAGT